TTTAAACGCAAATTAGTTATGTAACATAGCATAGTTATGTAGTAGCAAGGGGAGTATGTGATTCCAGGGAGGCATTTGTGGAAATTGTCTTTGGACAATAGAAAGTAATCAAGGTAGTGAAATTGTAAACCATATAACAGAGCGTACAACTCGACTGTAATACAACTGTGCTAATTGGTTTCCCACTTGTTCCCATCAGTTAAGTAAATTGGGCAACTTTGGTCAGGTCATCAATGGATTAAAAATGAGTTCTTTAGTGTCAGGTAATCTTGTTATTCTTCGAACCAGACTTTTGAACCTCCAAGTCTTACCGATGTTGATTTTCCAGCTGTGTAATATGCGTACTCTAGATATACTCTTTGCTCTGTAACCAGTGCTAAAAACCTTGTTCTGTTGTTTATTTAATCAAGAATGGGTTGCTGTAACATGCTCTTATTGCTGGTACTTAGGCTAAGATCCTTATGTCTTGTATATCATCAAGGTCTAGCTCTCACAAGCATTAGTTGTAGCTTCTTTACATTTCCAGTGAAGTATCAGATTGATTAAAAAGGTTGTGTTAAAATGCAGTTTAGCCTGCTAGGATGCAAGGCTCTGGCTTAGATCCTAAGAGAAGTACTTGTCCTCTGAATTGGAGGTCCATCAGTCTTTCATACTGCCCCAGGACTAGGTAGAAATCCGTATAGAACTGGGGCTTAAATGGATATTATAAACTGATTTAACTTTTTCTTCCATTAGTTTTAATACATATAAAAAACATCTGAGTGTATGTTTTATCTGCTTTTTCCTGATTTAAGTGTTATTTGCTGATATTTATCTGTTATTGCAGATGGCAAACAAAACCTTGCAGATATCTACTGCTGTGATTTAGATGAAAAAAAAAGTCTATTAATCCATATTCCTGTTTGGTTAATGACGTCTGAGCCATTGATTTTAAAAGTACTGAGACTGTCTTCCTGTTTTGTCTTCACTAAAACACAAGTTCCGTTTTCTCTTTGAGTTTGAAGCCCCTTATTATCGTTAGTAGTGTGCTACTGGAAAAGCGCTTTGGTAAGGGAGGGAGAGCCTTTTATTTGAAGGGACCAGAAGGAACGTGGCTTGCAGGGTGGAGCAGTGGTTAGCATCACTTCCTTGCGGCACTGGGGCCCGGGGTTCAATGTGCTGTCTGTGTGGAGTTTGTATGTTCTCCCAGTGTTCACATGGGTTTCCTCCCGGTTCACCGTTTTCCACCTACAGCCCAGGACATAATGGTAAATTAACTGGCTTTTGGAAAAACTTGCTCTGATGTGCATGTGCGCATGTCTGTGTCCTCCAGTCAATCACGGGGCATCTTGTCCAGCGTGTACCTATTGTATGCTGAGACACTATTGTATGACTCGGTTAGAAAATGGGTGGACAGATGGAACTTGAGGACGTTCTTATGTTTAAGAGTTGGAGTTTGTTAGTTTCAGGCTAGTTGTAGTTGAGTAGAATAAACGGATTTTTAGAACACTTAGGCCGTACTTCTCTATTGCTTTGTGTTACATGGTGAAATTGTGATTTTAGCATGGACAATTTTCTGTCCTTGAAGTTTTTTGTTGTTTGACATTTACTAGACTAAACTTAAATTGGCAGCAGTTTAAAAGCTTCCTGTCCCGCAGGTTCTTCTGAATGTGAAAATTATTATTATTGTACTTGAAATATAAACAACTCCAGCAGCAGTTCCTGAAAGAAACAGCTCAAGAAAGAAAAGTGCTTTGATAATCCAAACACAATAATGCCTCCATTGATTCCGCCACAGGAAGCATTTGTAACTATTCGAAATGGCAGCACTTCAGAGTGTACTGTACTGTGTATTGTGATTGATAGTGTATTCGTTTTTCTGAGCTGGTATATCCAGCAATAGAAATGAATGCCGGAGGTCTTAAAAGGACAGCACTTCCCACGGGGGCTGTGCCATCATTAATCCATATCACAAATTAATTGCAAATTAGTGCGTGCTCTGTATAGAGGGTAGGGGCAGCAGTTTGTTTCATGGTCTTTCTCGTATTAAAACTGTCCAGGCCTCCATTTCAATCTACAGGAGGTAAACCGCAGTTTGTGGAACTGCTGTATAAGTGAAAAATAGTACAGATATGCTGTAATGATATTTTTCTTATACATGTAAGGAGTGAAATGTCAGACAGAGAACCTTATAAATTGTATAAATAGAACCTTATAAATGGATTTTACATTACTTTTAATATACCTGCAGAATTTAGATGCTACAATTGATTTGGAACACCAGTATATTTTCATAGTGTGAAATAAGATTTTGAAAACTTGTATCAGGCCTCTTTTAAGTCTTCTCTGTTCAAGACTGAAAGGGTTGATTTAAAGAGCATTTAAATATCTTTCAAAATTATCTATTTCTAGCCTAGTTTTTCCATTTTTAATTTACAATTTGTTTTTAATATATACCTTGCCCAGTCATGAATTTAATCTAAACCTTTTTGAGTTCTGTTTGCTAACCCTCTTCATTTGGTATCTTCAGCCGTAGGAGTAGGGAGTTGTTTTGTTTTTTAGAAATCACAGATTTAAGTGCACCTTTTGGATGACCTGCATGTCTAAAGGACCAATTACAGAGATCCAAGACATGGCATGACTGGAGAGGGAGAAAGATTTCTGCTCTCTGCATTTTTATTGCAGAAGTTAATTTAAAAGGTAAACATGTATTGATTACATACCTTATTAATTCCAATATTGATGGCAATAAGAATTACACTTTTGTCCATTTTTGCATTCTTCATTATTAAATAAAGTACAGAATTAAAGGATTGTGGTATCAAGCAGACTAGCCATGTGTCAACCCCATGTGTGTTGAGTCTGCTCCTCCAGATTTGTGTAAAAATAGCCCTGGTGGCTAGACGGGTAGCTGTGAGCGCACTGTGTGGTGGGCAAGAGCCACATGACTCCTCAAAGGAATATCACAAGAAGGAGGATCAAAGAAATGTCCTACACTTATCTGCTAAATTACATTATTTTCAGTCTTGAACGGGCAGACTGAGGGGATTCCATTCATATTTTTAACATTTTCCACAAACATTACCCCACATTGTACGGGGTCACAGTACACAAAAGCTAAATATTATTGAGATCAGGAGGCACTGTTTTTCCACAGAGGATTGTAGGGGTCTGGAACAAGCTAGCCAGCTACAATGTCAAAGCTGACATCAGATGTTTTTCAAGGCAGCTGGATGCTTCGTTTGCTATACTGAACTAAATGAGCTGGATGGGCCAATCAGTCACTGGCTACTTAACAATATTTTTCTGTTTCTGCAAATAGAATCCCAAATCACCTATGTGGAATTCCTAAAGTTCGTTTTCAAAGGGTTGTTTGCATTTTACAACTGTTTGGAATTATTTACTTCTTACTTCCTTTGGTCAGCCAAAAGAAGTTTATTTTTTTTCAATGCAATATTGATATCTGAAATATTGTGTTAAAAAATGAGTAGGCGTTTAAATAAAGTAAAAGTTGTGGAAAAAATCACAAATCAGCCCCAACAAAATGCAAGAAGCCTGCCATCTCTAGTTGGATTTGATAAGATTCTATTGTAGCTCCAAAAAATCCTATTTGCTTGATTTTCAAACTGCAAGCTAACTTTGCAAATTGTGAAACTTTTCAAAATCCTCAACATCTATCCACTGAAACACTGTAAAATCCATGTTGCTGATATCAAAGTTGTGTGGTTTAACCAGAAAAGAAATCATCGTCCCAAAACATTGGAAATCCTGAAATCTGACAAAATGCAACCCTGTTTTCATCGTACTGTTCAGGGTAGTTTTTACGTTTTTCAGACAGATCTTGATTGCCTCAAGATAGTTCTCAAAGCATACCAAAACTTTCTTTGGTTTTATAGTGTTTGTCTTTACACTTAAGTGTGAAAATGTTATCAGAGGCATGGATTGTGAGCTCTCCTGTGGGAGGGGGAAACCCTCTAAAAATTGCACCAAAAAACCAAGTGAATCATTTTTTTCTAAACCAAGGAGCTTTCATTGGATGGCATGTTGTAGAGAATTGCAGAACAGTCAACCGTAGTTTTTAACATGTTTTATTGTCATTTCTTCATGGCTTATTAGACTTTTATTGCATGTGCCTTTATAAATCCCTCTGCAGACTAATAATGACACAATGTCGTAGGTTGCCAATGCCTGATCTAAACTATAAACATTTTATTTTGGGGTTTGCTGTTTTTGGTGCTTTTCATTTTTTACCTTTAAGTATTTAGTGTAACCATTTATGGTTTGATTGGAAAATATCCTCTTTATGTAATGTGTGTGTATATTGCTTGTAACTCTACAAAATGGGACATTTGAAGATAGTTCAATACTCTTTCAGGGCACTATATATATATATAACATTGAAAGGAACAATTAAGGATTCATTTCCTTAGAGACAAAACAGCTCATCCTTGTTATTCTGTCTTAATTATCTTTTGTAGGTTCTAAGAAATGAATTCAACTTGATATTACAGTAGCAAAAATCATTGTAGCTGTGCGTTGTCTTTACTGAGTTAAATCAATAGTTTTTTCATTCCTATTTTATTAATGAGGGTTCATAGTATTTATTGTTGGGATTCACTCTGAGGCTGAGAGACCAGTGAGGGCATAAAAAAAGTAATTCCTGTTATAAAGGTCCTTTTAAGGATCTGTTTTCTTGGAGTGTAGCCTAACTAGGAGATTGTCTGAGAGGACATTTTTAACAAAGTGAATGGACATTTAGGAAGGCAAAAAATGTTCCTAATGTTTGTCACTTTTTTTTTTTACGGAAAAGGATGAGGGCTTTACATTGCTGTCTAGACATTCTTTAAGATTTTTAAGCAGTATTTTTGCCACATCAGATGTCCCAGTTATATCTAGTGGTTAGACGTGAACTGTAGAAGAAATGTTCCTTCTGTTTTGCTTTATTTGACCTTGGGAATGGCCCGTAGAGCTCAGATTTTCTGCTGTTATGTTCTGACTGTCTCTCCCTCTTGGCTCTGCAGGAGTTTGTTTGCTAAGAAATTAAAGGAGACCAGGCCCTTGGAGCAGAGCGAGCCTGGGTGGAAACTGTTTGGAAAAGTGCCCCTGCGTGAAGGATCGGTCAAGGACCCAAAGAAGGTACAGAAGGTCAGTCTTTTGTTTTTCAGGGTGACCAGACAGACTTGTGTACATAATGTCAAGGAGAGAAACTAAAAACGCACACCATTTAAAAACGGTAAAAACATTACTTTTCGTGCTATTTGATAAACTTCACAGATGTTTGAGAAGTAACTCCAAAAACGAAGCCAAAGCATTCTAAAAAAAAAAAGCAGATAAAAAATAGTGAGAACTGTTATTAATGTGGCACTGACCAGGAGGAAGGCACCACAGATTGCTCTCTGGGTATCGGTCTGCCTTCCTGCCTGTTAAATTCCCGAATGAAGCCAGAAGTTAGGCATCATACTTTATTTCCGTTTTGTTTGCAAGTCTTCTGGGTTGACGTTTTCTCTGAGGCACAAGGAATTGGATTTGGAATGGCTAAACATCTTATCTGAGAGTGTTAGACATTTCTTTATTTACAATGTTGTTGGATATGTAAATTTCCTCTGAGTCCTTAATTGCCATTCTCTGATGCACAGCTTCACTTCATCATTACTTCCTTTGCTAGAACACAACTTTACGGCTTTAATTTTAAATAAAAAGGTAACGTGTTGGAGGAGGTTAGAGATAAATGCTTGCGCCCAGATTCCCTGAAGATTATTATAATCAGCAAAATGTTCACATGTATTTATAGACGGGTCCTGTGCAGCAAATTCAGTGTGTGGTGCATCCTAGCAACATAAATGATGATGTGACAAAGTAATAAACACAGAACTGATAGAAAACATGCATTATGGTTCAACAGGAGGATACCGAATCTCACAGAATGAGTGGTCTCTCACTGAGCAGTAATGCAGTAAAAGTAATAGAGATTTCTAAAGAAGCATCATTCCATTCTTTATTATGGGTGAAGACCTCATTTTTCTACATGTATGTTGAGGTACGATGTCTTTTGCTGTATAGTAACTAAGTTTGTTAAAGCTACATGTTTGTCTCTTAATTCTATTGGAATCCTGCAAGATGCTCTTAACAGGGGATTTTTAAGATAAGGTCACAGTTTGTATAAATATGCCCTGAATAAGCAAATACTGATGGTGATCCATCATTGAAATTATCACAGACTGTCCCGAGTATACTGTCCTGTGATAAGGGGGGAGTGTTTTGATGAGCAAAGTTTACTGTAAGATCCCTGTAAAACAACTTATTATGCATGTTTAGAGGAGTTTACCTTTCGTAGAAATTAGAAGTAAGGATGAAGGAGCTTGAACATTCTTATAGACTTTCTAGATATGTATAACTAAAGTACACATGCTATATTGAATAGAAAAGATCTATTCAATATATCAAAAAAATCTAAGAACACTCACAAGATGTTATTCCATTTTGCTGTCCAGTGTTTAACCTTGAAAGAATTATCAGCCATTTACTGTAGGTACTTTTTCAAACTACTGGAAGTGCTGATTAATTTGTTTGGTAAAATCCCCTGACCCTTTTAATGAAAGGAAATAGCCTTGCAAAGGTTATACAGGCCCTGCTTATAGGATCAGACTCATATGTTGTTACATCTAGTTAAACCATGATCAAACTACGTACTGTTTCCAAGGTTAAACTGCAATGCTTACCTCAATCCATTGATACATTCTTAAATTAACAATGAATTATTCCTTCTAATTAATGAGCTAGATCCCTTCTGGTGCCCCTGCCTTTATGAAGTAATCTGAACCTTTGTTTCCGGGTGTGTGTGTGCACTTATGTGCGCCTGCTGCTGTAACGAAGAACGCTCTCTTTTCTGTTGTCGCCATCAGCGTTCGTAACTGAATCCATGTCTAACCAGCCTCAGAGTCTGAAAGAGACAGCTTGATTTACAAGTGCTGGCAGAGCCTGGTTCTGACCTGTTATCATTCCCTAGCAACACAACCAAGAAGGCGTGTTACAATTCTTGCAGCACAGGGCATTTGAAACTGTAGAATTAGTGGCAGAATAAAATAAAACTGCCATGAATTTCATAATGAACTTCTTTTTTCAAGTGAAACTCTTTTGGTGGGGAAAAAAAATCTTGTATCAGGTTTAATGGGTCAATCTGTTCAGTTGATGAATGTTTTTTTATATTATGGCAGTTCTGAAGTTCTACGTTTTGCATTTCTATTTAGTATTAATAAATCCATATTTCACAAATATAAGATTTGGGCAGTATTTTTAGTGGTTTTCTGTGTTTCCTCTAGCCAACTGTTATTTTTATATGTGAGGATATTAAAATTATTGCAAAATATATTTAGGCATACATAGGAGTAGTTGAGATTCGTTTAGTTATTTCTTAATTATTGCTTCAAATTTACCTATTGTATTTGTTAAATATGGCGGTGCTTTAATTTGATACCGGTCATAGGAAATTTGTAAAATTTTGGCTTAGCAGACAGCTCATTTTACTCAATACTGGTATTCTAAAAAAGCACTTTTCATTTAAGATAATGTATCTTTGGAATTTTATGACTGTTGTCTGTTATGGGACTTTACTGTTTTTTTTTCTTATAGTACATAGCTGTGCTTTTACAAGGGGAAGGATGAGAAATTAGTATTAAATTATATTTAATATGAATTTTCTCTCCTGGGTCCTTTGATCACTGTCGCACTCTGTAGTCTCCCCGACATTGCTAACAGGTAGGTTACATCATTTGTGATGTGAAAGTACCAAAAGTCACTGGCTACTTCACAATATTTTTCTGTTTCTGCAAATAGAATCCCAAATCACCTATGTGGAATTCCTAAAGTTAGTTTTCAAAGGGTTGTTTGCATTTTACAACTGTTTGGAATTATTTACTTCTTACTTCCTTTGGTCAGCCAAAAGAAGTTTATTTCCCATTTACTATGCTATAAAACTGGTGAGTTTCAGACTGATACCTCATCCTCTGTGGTGAGCATTCAAACCACACACAAAAGGGAGCAATGCTTTAATCCCTCTTTGTGTTGCAGTGTTACGTCACTAGCTAGATGACACCCGAGAGGCAGGCAGGCTAATTCACAGAGTTGAGCTCTTCATTTTCTAAAGCCACAAGGCATTACCAAAGAGATCCGAAAGAACTGATTGGATACCTGTCATCTGGCAATGATTATTATGACTGCTGAATCCTGGCTCCTCCGTGCGGCAGTGACTAATACCAGAAGACAGCAGAGATTTGCAGGGAGAGGGAAAGACCAGCAAAAAGAAGGCAATACCACCAGCAAGCCACAGGACTGATGCTGGATTCGCTATAGTTGTTGCTCGGGGAGGCTGCGTCTGCTGTTCATGGTGTGTTCCAGAAGGCAGCATGGGCCATCCGTCTCTGCCCTCTGCTGATGTGTCGCAAGGCCTGAGACAATGATACCGGGCGGAATGGAGTTTGTATCTAGTTGCATTTAAGGAACAGCAGCTTTCATGGTGAGTGCACAGCCTTTGCCTATATCCAGTGGAAGGGAGAGACTGAATGAGATCTCCATTAATCACTTTTTGCAGAACAAGGGAGGTATTGTCTAAAAGGCAGATCATCACTTGACAGATCTATTCAGACAGATTTGACTCCAGTCTCTGTAGTTCTGTGAGGTGATTATAATGCAGGGAGACTACCGACACCCTTTGCATAAGCTTTATTGGATTTTCTCTCACACACTTTTTGCGCTTTAAGTTAAAAACAAATGTTATTTTACTCGTTTTTTTGCCATATTCTATATTGAAAGGGGAAGGGAGGATGGTTTTTTCTTTTGACTTTTCTTTGACGGCCACGGTAGAAGTCAATGATTTTTTTTGCAGTGTGAAAGTTTTCACTGTATCTGCTTTTCATTGTTACTTCAGAGCTGTTTGGGTTTTGTCGCTCCAGTAAGGCAAAGTATAATTGGCATTCGCATTTTCTTCATCAGTATTGATTGAAATCAAATTTCATTCTTTTTTTCTGCACGGCGATCAGCCCCCAAATGATTGAATTTTGTGTTGTGCTCGTTTTATGTT